AACAAACTCCCTATTGCTGAGTGATATATCTCTTGATCACAGGTTTCACCTTTGTCCGCACTTAAACTATTATAAAAATCCATACTCATGGGTGTGGGAGCAGTATTGCAATCTTTCATATTATATTTCTCCAATAACTGCTCAATTTTTCTCCTTTGACTGAGAATATAACCACCTTTTTCATTTTTCTGTATCTCTATACCGAGATAATTTTTTTATTTCTCCCAAATTCTTTAATTGTGAAAAACCTTGTGCCACTAACCTGGCCTTATACTGTACATCATTATTTGGCAATACCTTTTTCTTATATAACTACTTACAACCTACAGCTTTGGTTCCCTGTGGCAAAGTCACTGATTTAAATACTTCATGGTCTCCCATGGATTTCATCTTGTTCAGCTTTTGGTAATGCCAACACCTCTTTATAACTTCTTGGCTCATACCACACATTGCAAACCTTTACCTTGCTGGCAGAATACCTGTCAGGCGGAATTCCTTTGTTACATCGCTCTGACCTACGTGCTCCTAACTGCTCCTGTGTCTCAAGTCTTTCTGGCTTCATGTCTTGTTCAGCCTCTCCTCCCTGAACATTGACATCTTCAATAATCATTTTTCCATCATTAGATGAGTTATTGTCACTAAACAGATCACCGTCATTAAGTGAGACATACCCAGAATTTGCATTAATTCTGTCCCAATTTTGTTCTGCAAAATTAGCAGACCTTGAAATTACAACTCTTTTACTTCCATCGCTAAAGCGATATCCTTTTGACCCTGGCTCATAGCCCACAAGCCTGAGCTTTCTTGCCTTTTGCTGTCCCTTTCTTCTGATTTCTTTTGGAATATGTACCCATGCAGTACTTCCAAAAATTCTCAAATGTGCCAGTGATGGCTTTCTCCCATATAGAATGGTTTATGGAGTATTATTAATGGAGGAACTCCACAGCCTGTTAACTATGTAATTGGCAGTCAATATGGCTTCTCCCCAATATGACCTGCTCATACCAGAATCCTCTAACAATGAATCTTTCATTGTTTGCAAAACACCATTCCTTCTTTCAGCTACACCGTTCTCTGCTGCTGAGTAAGGATTTGTANTTTCAGGTACACAAAGCACATTGGTAAACTTTGATTCCAAATATGGAATTTTTACATCGCCTCTTCCAATGACTTTTGCTTTCTGGCCATTTGCCAAAGCCACAGCTTCTTGTGCTACTGGAACAAACCTGCAAAATAATTCAGAGTCATTAACAATTGTTTGACTTGCCCCACTATCTATTAGCCACTTGTCTCTGTTATTGCTATTGCAAACCTTGGCAACACCAAAATGTTCCTTTTACAAATTAGTCTTCTTTGCATGCATAAATGTCTTTTTCTGCAAATTGTTCCTCTGCAAACAGTTTCTTTTCAGATGTGTGCTGGCTCCACATATGTAGCAATTCTTTTCTTGCAAAACTCTCTGTCTGCAAAATTTCTCTTTTGTTGCAATTTGGTCCCATCTGCTGCTTGCTTCTCCTGCTCCGGAGACTTGCAGTCTGGACCCCCTCCTCAGGAATTTCTCCTCGTGGCTACTCCTGAAATTGTGCTTTTTTTCTTCATTAAGCAAACATGCCTTTAAAGCCTCAAAATTTAAGTCTTTCTCTTCTTTGCACTCAAATATAGCAGAAACTGTGTCCCACGTTTTATCTAAACTGTTCAACACCAATAAAACCTTCTGTGACTCAGGAAATTCAATCCCACGTTGTTCTAAGTCCAAAAATAAACTTTGCATTTTATTTAAATGCTGTTCCACAGATTCACCTGGTTGCAAACAGGCTCTGTAAAGTTTTCTTGACAATTGCACTATATTGCATGCAGAAATATTCATGTGCACAGCTCTCAACTTCAGCCAAATTTCCTTTGCAGTCTTTAGATTTGCAACATTTAGAAATTGTTCATCATCTAAATTCAAGATGAGATACGCCATTGCTTTATCATGGCTTTTCTGATCAGTAGCTGCAAATACTTGTGGGGGATTTTCAACAATATACCACAACTCTTTTGCTTTCAGCAAACATTCCATCTTTGCTGCCCAGATAATGTAATTCTTTTGCCCTAAACGAGGCACAGAGCTTTCCTTAAATTCCATTACAGCCATTCTGCTAATTCTGCCTTGTTCTTATACTTCTAAACACAGGCAATTTCTTCCAGCTTCAAATTACAATGAAGTCCTTAGTAAGCTCTGGGCCCATAACCTGTTAGAGAATTTTAATTTCTCTGTTAGTAAAAATAAATCAGAAGCTCTCACAGTTGACTGCATTTAGCTGATTCAAATAAACTCTTTATATTCATATAAAAATATTTACAATACCATATATTCTTCTTCATAGAAACATAGCATAAATGAAGACTTCTTACAGCAGAGACAGACCTGAAACCTGAAACTGAAACCCAGCTTCTAACTCAATACCCTTTTGCACAGACTCAGTAGCACTTTCTTCACATTGGCTGACTGAGTTACCACATGACTCTTCCTGCTCATGAATATTCCAACAAGCCATTTATCTGAAATAGTATAGGGTCTCCTACTTGAACAGGGGTTGGACCAGAAGACCTCCAACTCTGTTATTCTGTTTAATTCAGTAGTCATAATTGAAATGTTATGTCTTTCAACATAGTTAAGTATGAGTGGTTAACATCCTTGCTCAATTGCAAATTAAATATGTGCCTGAGAGCTTTCAGGTAGACAGTATATACTGAATTGATCACAATTGTGCACCCCTATCAATCTTTTTTCCAAATATGAGGCAAGTCCTCATATAGCAGAAGTTTACTAATTTTTGGAAGTGATTTCTGGGTAACAGAAGCAGGGAGATGGGAATGAGATATAAAATATGGAGAGACAATCCAAACCACAAATAGAAACTCCATTTTTCCTTTAGTGAATTTTGGAAGGAAGGATGAAAGGGAGATGAAGAAAAGAATTGCTTTCAAGGCACCAAAGGTGCCTATATCCCATATAGCCAATATCAGATGAAATGTGTTCTCTTTAGCAAATTAGAATTCAATGTACTTTTATGTCATTATTCAAGTTCATAGTACTCCTGTGCTAGATAAATTTATGAGCTATGCATTTATTGTTGCCATAACAACCAATTCCTTTCTTTCTCATTATTTCCAGTGGATTTACCCACGAGGTTCCCACATATTATTTTTAACCTCCTTTTCTGGAACATATATTTTCATTTACAAATGTAATACAAGTAATTGAATTAATGTCACGTTTTTCTTTTCTTTTTAAATTTGTAATTCAGACGTGGATATACACAGCAAGAGGTAAGACCCACATTCCCTACATTTATTTTAGTAAAAAGTTATAATTTATAGTGGTTTCCTTCACCATAGGCTGAAGAATTTAATCCATTGAATTAAATGTTGTCAGTGAGATATATGGATGTGTATCAGTCTTCCTGAGCTTTTAGATGTAACACCTCTAGTTCCTTTTACTTTCTGTTGGTTACATACATTCCGAACTTTTAAAACACATTATTTACTATAATAAATGAGTAATTATGACTTAAGTGATTTCAGAAAAGCTGCACCAGAAAAAAAATATTTTTGCTACCCACAAATAGAGATTTTATTTCTAAAAATGTGCCTTTTCTTGTATTCTAAGTTGTATAATTTATTGATCCAGCCTTGACAGTCAAGCAATGGGCAACGAAATACCTGATGGCAGGGTCAGGGACACAGGTGCCAGGGAGGCAAAAGGTTTTTTTGACCTGAATGTAAAAAGGGACACCAGAATAAGATTCGGGGTGGAATTTCATGCTTAAAAATTGTGCTGTTTCCTGTTTTTCAAAATCAAACCTTTTTTGGTGTCTGGGGAAGGAAATTCCTGACGCCGGAGTCAGGAATGCGGGTGCCAGGGAGGGCAAAACCCTTTTTGACCCGAATGTAAGACAGATGCCAAAATGAGATTCAGGGGGAATTTCATACTTAAAAATGGTGCTGTTTCCTGTTTTTCAAAATCGAGCCTTTTTTGGTTTCTGGGGAAAGAAAGTCCTGATGCCGGGGGCAGGGATATGGGAGCCATGGAAGCCAAAAACTTTTTGACCCAAATGTAAAAACAGGTGCCGGAATGAGATTTGGGGTGAAATTTCATGCTTAAAAATGTTGCTGTTTCCTGTTTTCCAAAATTGAGCCTTTTTTTTGGTGTCTGGGGAAGGAAATTGCTGATGTCAGGGGCAGGGATGCGGGTGCCAGGAAGGCCAAAAAATTTTTTGACCCAAAAGTAAAAAACGGAAGCCGGTATGAGATTCTGCGTGGAATTTCATGCTTAAAAATGGTGCTGTTTCTTGTTTTTCAAAATCAAGTTTTTTTATGTGTCTGGAGAAGGAAATTCCTGATATCAGGGGGAGGGACATGGGTGCCAAGGAGGCCAAAAATGTTCTGACCCGAATGTTAAATCAGATGCCTGAGTGAGATTCTGGGTGGAATTTCATGCTTAAAAATGGTGCCGTTTCTGGTTTTTCGAAATTGAGCCTTTTTTGGTTCCTGGGGAAGGAAATTCCTGATGTCAGGGGCAAGAATGGCAGTGCCTAGGTGGCCAAAAAGATTTTTGACCTGAAAGTAGAAACGGACGCCGGTATGAAATTCTGGGTGCCAGGGAGGCCAAAAATGTACTTACCCGAATGTTAAATCGGATGCCAGAATGAGATTCGGGGTGGAATTTTATACTTTAAAATGGTGCTGTTTCCTGTTTTTCAAAATAGAGTCTTTTTTTGGTGTCTGGGGAAGGAAATTTTTAATGCCAGGGTCAGGGATGCGGGTGCCAGGGATGTCAAAAAAAATTTTCACCCGAATGTAAAAACGGATGCCGGTATGAGATTCTGAATGGAATTTCATGCTTAAAAATGGTGCTGTTTCTTGTTTTTCAAAATCAAGCCTTTTTTGGTGTCTGGGGAAGGAAATTCCTGATGCCAGAGGAGGGTGCTTTGGCAAAACTTTTTTGGCCCAAAAGTAAAAACGGACGCTGGTATGACATTCTGCGAGGAATTTCATGCTTAAAAATAGTGCTGGGTTGGTTTTTTTTAGAAATTGAGCTTTTTCTGGTGTCTGTGGAAGGAAATTCCTGATGCTGGGGTTAGGGATGCAGGTGCCAGGGAGGCCAAAAAGTTTTTTTCACCCGAATGTAAAAACGGATGCTGGAATGAGATTCAGGGTGGAATTTCATTCTTAAATATGGTGCTGTTTCCAGTTTTTCAAAATCGATTCTTGTTTCATGTCTGGGGAAAGAAATTCCTGATGCCAGGGTCAGGGACACGGGTGCCTGGGAGGCCAAATTTTGTTTGATCCAAATTTAAAAATGAACATCAGAATGAGATTCGGGGTGGAGTTTTATGCTTAAAAATGATGCTGTTTCCTGTTTTTCAAAATCAAGCCTTTTTTGGTGTCTGGGGAAAGAAATTCCTGATGCCGGGGTCAGGGATGCGGGTGCCAGGGAGGCCAAAAAGTTTTTTGTCCCGAATGTAAACACAGAGGCCGGAATGAGATTCTGGGTTGTATTTCATGCTTAAAAATGGTGCTGTTTTCTGTTTTTCAAAATAGAGCCTTTTTTTTGAAAAAACTTATTTAATATACAGTTAAAAACAAAAAAGATACAGTGGACATAATACAACTTCCCTGGTTTAAACAATACTATTAGTATTAACTTATGAAATAAAAAAAATTCTTTACATTATAACAAAATATGCATATAGGATCTGTGATCTTTCTAGTGAGCATTCTTTCAATCATATACATTGTGGTTAAATAGCTTTCAATTCTATCTTGTAAAGAATACTAGTATAAAGATTTCTAAACTATCAACTTATCAATCAACATTCGTCCCAGCATTCCTCCTTGACTAACCATTTATACACTCCATTCCAAATTTCGAAATAGTCTGTTTCAGTTTTATTTTTAAGCTCTAATGTTAACCTATCCATTTCCGCGCAGGATAGGATTTTATTTATTACTTCTTCTTCAGTAGGTGTTTCTTTTCTCTTCCATTTCTGACCATAGGCTAGTCTCACTGCAGTTAGAATATGCAGTACTAAATATAAAGATCCTTTGCTGGATTTCTTCTTTGTAATCCCTAATAAAAAAATTTCTGGTTTCAATTCGATTTTTTGTGATAATATCTCTTCTCCAGCATGATTGGATGGAAAATTCACCAATGGGTTATCTTAACCTTCCTGCTCCATGTGACTAAGTCTGAGTCTATAAGTATCAGTACCACACCATGTGCTCCCCAGTTTTTCGACTTAGTCTTCATGCTCCAGACTTTAAACAAAGAACTTTAAACTTTATCAACAACATATCTACAATTAAGTAAATTCAACAGAAATTAGACTTAAACAAGATAGAAATTCCCAAGGGACTACACCTGGGGAGAGGATTCCTCTGGATTCTTCTGATTGAACTCTCCCTCGGAGACAGGGAGTCCCTTTGTTCAGGAAGAGGGCCTCCGCTGCAAGGGGATTCCCTGCTCATCAGCTGCTCTCCGCATCGGAGGATTCCCCTCAACCAGAGATCAAGGAACGGTGAGTACTTTCGGACCACATGGCCATCCCCAACGCAGAGAAACCTCCCTAGCCTTCAGCGGCGTGGGGACCCCTAGGGATCTATTCCCACCCCCACCCACCCCGCCGTTTGCGGCGATCGGAAGGGCTTCCCCCAGGTCGGGAAGCCTCTGAAGAGGGGAAATTCCCTCACATAGCCTCCCTGCCGTTTATTGGCTACTGGGGACACTTCTCTCAGGCCGGGAGATCTTCGGAGAAGGGGGATTCCCCACATGTGTTCCTTGGCTTCCCTGGCATCCAGGGAGGCTTCCCCCAAGCGGGAGGCCTCCGAAGAAGGGGATTCCCCCACGCAGCCTCTCTTCCGCCTTTTAACCATCTGGAGAGGCTGCCGCAAGCAGGGAGGATTCCCCCAAGCCGGGATTCCCCCGCACAGCCTCTCTTCCGCCTCCTCGTCGCCCAGAGAGGCTGCCGCAATCAGGGAGGCTTCCCTCAAGCCAGGAGACTTCCAAAGAAGGGGATTCCCCCGCGCAACCTCTCTTCCACTTCTAATCGTCCGAAGAGGCTGCTGCAAGCAGGGAGGATTCCCCCAACCGGGATTCCCCCACGCAGCCTCTCTTCTGCCTCCTTGTCGTCTGGAGAGGCTGCCGCATGGGGATTCCCCCGCGCAGCCTCCCTGAGGCTTTCCGACAGCCAGGGAAGATTTCCCCAGGCCGGGAGGCCTCGGAAGAGGGGGATTCATCCGTGTTGCCTCCGTGAACTTTTACAAGCCAGAGAGGCTTTTCCCAGGGCGGGAGCCTCTGAGGAAGGGGAAATCTCCCGCGCAATCTCTCTGCTGCTCCCGGCAACGGAGAGGTTTTTTCTTCCGAGCAGGGAAGCTTCCAAGGGAAGGGGATTGCTCCAGCCATTCCCCTCCATCATCGCATTCTCACAAGGGGAAGAAGACGCTGGGTGGAAGGAGCGAGCTGAACAGGTCCTAGGACCAATTAATTAAGGGGCCCAAGCGCTTCCTTAGGGAACAAGGGCTCACAGCTACCATAGCTAACTCGCATTCTCCAATCTGTTGCAGCGTGCTGACTCCATCATCGTGGGGTAGGCAAGCTCGTCCATACTGGGCGCATTGCCTCACTCTAAGACCCCACTAACCCTCCCCCCCCTCCTCACCTGGGTTGAAAACTCCACTGGGCCTCTTCAGGAGAATTACAGCGCCAGAGGGGGGGGCGCTTCTCACTGATTAGAGCCCTAAGATGACGATCTGATCAACCATCATGGCAGATCCATCATCATCATCATCATCATCATCATCATCATCATCATCATCATCATCATCCACGGAGGCCCCTGCAAAGAGGAAACAGAGTAGATCCTCATCCAGGGGAAAACAACCTGCCAAGCATACTAGATCTGAGAGAGAAGCTCCTCAGCTACTGAACTCAGCCCCAGCGAGCTCAAGCTTTGAGCCTCTGTCTACGCATTGCACCCTACCCCCGGGGGCCTGGTCTCCTCCCAGGGAGGTAACTCAAGCCCAGACAACCTTGGCAGGACCAATCTCCGTGGCGCAGGGGGTAATGACACAGGGCTTAGCCCCAACGGGAGCCGCATTTGCGACCAGCACAGTCGCTCAGCCAGTGGGCCCAGAGGCCCTCCAGGCCATGATAGCCCAGGCCATGGCACAATTCATGGCCACATCCAGACCACACCAACCACAGCAAACCCCCTCACCATCATTGAGGGACAGCGGTCTGGCGGGGTCACTAGAACCAGCAGAAGAGG